ACTCAAATGGCCTAATGACCTTTCTTTAAGGCTCCATTGCCCACGGCTCCAAATTGCTCAGAGCGCTCTCTTTTACCTCAGTTTCCCATTATTCCACTTTGAAATGTTAATAAGGAGCAGATTATAGTCTATTAGTAAAAAGTAAATACTTTCCTTTTGTTGTGAAGAAGCAACTCTGGTAAGGGCCTTGACCTGTTCTTTCTAGTTACTCACTAGACCCAATCCCTGAAAAAGATTGTTCTTGTCTTTGAAACCAGCAACTCTGCCTACTATCTATTTACTTGAAATAGAAGACAGTGTCTGGAGGCTTGGATCTGCCTCCCTACAGAACTCATCTTTGCATAACTTCACGAGGCCCATGAAGATCTCCAGGGAATAGCTTCTCTAACTTGAAAGGGATTAACCATCCCTGAACAACCAGAGGAAGTAGGTGAGGGAACAGTAGCAATTTTTGTTTTGATAGGTTGGCCTGTAAATAAACTGTTCAGGGGTTTAGGACTGGATGGGATTAGGGCTACTGACTAGGAGAAAAAGTAATTATATCAGGGAGGCCAAAAATAAAAAAAAAAACTGACCTGAAAATCCGCCTCCCTGAAAATTCAACCCGCAAAACTCAGCCACGCAGCAAAAAAGAAATTTGGCTCTTTTAAGTGCCAGCAGTATTAAGTGCTAGAGATTGTGGAAGTCATAAAGGGAAATTAACTGAAAGCCAGAGACGCCATTACTCATTCGGGAGCAATTTCTTTCTCCCAAAGTGAGGATACAATCTGCACCCTCTGGGGATGTTTTATCCTCAAATCTTTATTTCCCAGACTGGGGCTTCTATTTTCTTCAAATTCTAAGTGGTGCTGCTATTTCCTGCTAATGGCTTCTACCCAGCCTCTTGAAGAAGGCACCTGGGAGGGGACTGGAGAAGCTGAGGTTAGAGGAAAGCCCTTGCAGTCTCCAGGGTCTTGGTTCTTCCTAATCACTGCCAACTTCTCAAGGGATTGGTAGGCTTTTAAAAGTGCAGTGTCAAGGTTCAAGCTCTATTTTATTCCAAGCCAAGAGGAGGGTGGGTGGGACTGGATCAATTTCCAAGTAAAAGTGGAATATCTCTCTTTTTTTTTTTTTTTTTTGAGACGGAGTTTTGCTCTTGTCACCCAGGCTGGAGTGCAATGGCACGATCTCGGCTCACCGCAGCCTCCGCCTCCTGGGTTCAGGCAATTCTCCTGCCTCAGCCTCCTGAAGCTACTCAGGAGGCTGAGGCAGGAGAATTGCCTAATCCCAGCTACGGGATTACAGGCACGCACCACCATGCCCAGCTAATTTTTTGTATTTTTAGTAGAGACGGGGTTTCACCATGTTGACCAGGATGGTCTCGATCTCTTGACCTCGTGATCCACCCGCCTCGGCCTCCCAAAGTGCTGGGATTACAGGCTTGAGCCACCACGCCCGGCCAAAAGTGGAATATCTCTTATCCAAAATACTTGAGACCAGAAGTGTTTCAGATTTTGGATTTTAATTATTATTTTTGAGGCAGGATGCCACTTTCAGGATGAGTACAGTAGCACAATCTTGGCTCAATGTAGCCTCCAACCACTGGGTTCAAGCGATCTTCCCACCTTGGCCTTCCAGGTTGCTGAGACTATGGGCGCATGCCACGATGCCTGGCTAATTTTTGTATTTTTTGTAGAGACAGGGTTTTGCCATGCTGCCCAGGCTGATCTCAAGCAACCCTGGGCTCAAGCAATCTTCTCGTCTTGGCCTCCCAAAGTTCTGGGATTAGAGGCACAACCCATTGCACCCAACTTCTGAATACTTGCATATACATTATGAGATATCTTGGAGATGGGACCCAAGTCTAAAAACAAAATTCATTTGTTTCGTATACACCTTATACACATAGCCTGATAATCTTGTAAAATATTTTAGTTTGTGCATGAAACAAAGTTTTTTTTTTTTTTTTTTTTTTGAGATGGGTCTCACTCTGTCACCCATGCAGGAGTGCAGTGGCATGGTCATAATCACTACAGCCTTGACCCCTTGGGGTCAAGCAATTCTCACCCCAATCTTCCAAGTAGCTGGGACCACAGATGTGTGCTACCTCGGCTAGTTTTTAAATTATTTGTAGAGACGAGGTCTTACTATATTGCCCAGGCTGGTCTCCAACTCCTGGGCTCGTGAACCTCCCACCTCAACCTCCCAAAGTGCTGGGATTATAGGTGTGAGCCAGTGTCCAGCTGAAACAAAGTTCTGTGACCTATCACATGAGATTAAGTGTGGAATCTTCCACTTGTGGCATAAGGGCCCTCAAAATTTCAAATTTTGGAGCATTTAGGATTTTGGATTAGGGATGCTGATATATTTTGGATAGTTGTTCCCTCCAAATCTCATGTTGAACTTTGATGTCCAATGTTGGAGGCAGTGCCTAGGTGGAGGTATGTGGGTCAAGGAGGTGTATTCCTCCTGAATGGTTTGGTGTCCTCCTTGTGGTAGCGTTTTCATGGGTTATTTGTAAGTGCATGGCACCTCTCCTCTCTTGCTCCTTCTCTTGCCATGTGATACACCTGTTCCCTCTCTGCCTTCCACTATAATTGTAAACTTCCTGAGATCCTCACCAGAAACAGTTACTGGCGCCATGCTTCTTGTACAGCCTGCAGAACTGTAAGCTCAATAAACTTCTAAGTTACTCAGCCTCAGGTATTTCTTTGTAGTAATGCAAAATGGACCAAGACAGATGCTCTACCTGTATGTGGACCTGGTGCTTAAAAGGGAGTAATCTGTGATACCGCTGGAGGTATGAAAAGTAGCTTGCATACTATCTTTGTCCAAATCTCACTTGGTTAAAGGCATAACCATATATATTGCTCAGACCAGAAATCTGAAAGTCACTATTCCCTTTGGAGATTCCACCACACTATGTATATTAAAAGCTCTTTTTTTTTTTTTTTTTTTGAGACGGAGTTTCGCTCTTGTTACCCAGGCTGGAGTGCAATGGCGCGATCTCGGCTCACCGCAACCTCCGCCTCCTGGGTTCAGGCAATTCTCCTGCCTCAGCCTCCTGAGTAGCTGGGATTACAGGCACACGCCACCATGCCCAGCTAATTTTTTGTATTTTTAGTAGAGATGGGGTTTCACCATGTTGACCAGGTTGGTCTCGATCTCTCGACCTTGTGATCCACCCGCCTCGGCCTCCCAAAGTGCTGGGATTACAGGCTTGAGCCACCGCGCCCGGCCTTAAAAGCTCTTAACAGTCCTGCAGTAAATAAACTGGCTTCACTTTATTTAACCTGGTCTTGAGCAGGGTATCTTTATGCCCCAAAGTACCTAGCAAACAATCAAAACAGTGTTCTTTGCAATGCACTTTAGGAAACCTCAAACTATGGATCATGTACATGAAGTAAAAGCTTTCTAGGATTTGGCTTCTAATTCTGTAATTTTACTCTTTGCTGCTCCCCATCTCTCACCACCTTCAAGTTCTTTTGGTTTATAAAATGTGCCACACTTTCAAACTTGTGCCTACTTCTTGAAATGCACATGTTCTTTGTCCACCTGGCAAGACCTACTCATCCTCCAAGTCCCAATCTCAGCATAATGACATAATATGTGAAACTTCCTAAACTCTCCAAGTCACAATAAATTGTTTCCTCCTGTGTTTCCAGTGCACTTTATCCAAACTTTATTCACTGATTAAAAGTAATTGGTTTGAGAGCTTTCCCATCCTGCTGGTTCCTTCATTAATGAGTTGTATAAATCTTTGGCATGTGTTCACTTAAACAAGTAATGAATTTGAGATAGTCTTTTCTACTGGTGTGAGCACTTCTCAAGATGGCAAGGACAGCAACTTATTTCTCTCTGTCCTCAGCAACAATGATCATGCCTGCCACATAATAGGGCTGATGTTTCTGTTGAATGATGATGCCCCAAATCCAGGGTAGATACCCTCTCCCTAACTTAAGATAAATAGATGACTCAGGTTTGAGAGCTGTAAGTGTAAAACCAAACATGCTCAGACAGGTTAGAACTGTGACACTCTCTTTGTTCTGAGATAAGATTCAGAAAAAATGCACTCTACTCCCCAGTGCCAGATGAGATTCAGTAGTGTCTGTCTGTGTGTTGGGTATAGTCATCCAGTGATCCAGGGAGACAGTAACCTGTCTTAGTGGTAGAAGGCACGTGATAGCATTTCTTCTTTTTTTTTTTTTTGAGAGATTTTCACTATTGTTGCCCAGGCTGGAGTGTAATGGTGTGATCTCGGCTCACTGCAACCTCTGCCTCCCAGGTTCAAGTGATTCTCCCGCCTCAGCCTCCTGAGTAGCTGGGATTACAGGAGCCCACCACCATGCCTGACTAATTTTTTATTTTTAGTAGAGATGGGGTTTCTCTATGTTGGTCAGGCTGGTCTCAAACTCCTGACCTCAGGTGATTCGCCTGCCTCAGCCTCCCAAAATGTGGGAATTAAAGGCATGAGCCACTGTGACCGGCCAATAGCATTTCTTAATGTCCCTGTCTGTTTATGCAAACAGACAAGTAAACAGAATCATAAAGATGTCTCAGATAATATCATGGCTAAGTTGCACCCAATCAGTCTCATATTCTATTTGAGTTGTGTTTGATGCAGCATTCTGGCCAATGTCATTTTTACAAGCATTTGGCCACTTTCAAGAGCCTGAGTTTAGAGAATGCAGCTCAGAAGAGTTCTTTTGGCAGGGGACAGAGTAAACACAGGCTCTGTTAATTAAAGATCAGGTACAAGTACACAAAAACAGGTTCTTTTATTTATCACCTCTTGCCTGCACTGCTTCTAGTAGGAAAAAAGTATTTGTTACTGATAAATAATTATTCTCTGTCAGTGTCGTGGAAATGTGGAAACCTAAAAACACAGAAAAGTGGGGAAAACCCCCCAAGCGAACAGCTTCTTGGACTTTTAAATGACCTGTGGCCACATCATGCTCTACTCTGATTTTTAGCAATCAAGCCTCAAAAAAGAAGATAGCAATAAATCCAATCCATACGGCTCTTGTAAAAAGGCATCTATTTGGCTTTTAATACAAAATGACTCAGAGAAATACAGAGAGAAAATATCATACAAGCCAGTTACTTTAAAAAAAAAAAAAAAAAAAAACCCAACCAACAAATTTGTCACATTGGGCCTGCATTAGAAAACAGAAAACAAGAAAACAAAACAGTCCCTGAAATCTGGCAGGTGGTTTTTAGAAGCCACAGGGAGCTTGCCTTAGTCATCCTGGTGAAATGGGACAGAAGTGGTTTTTGGAATATGGCCACCACCTCCTCTGTTTCTTGCTAGTAATGGTCATCTGAAGGGAGGCTGCTAGCCTGGGCAGCCAACATTTTACGTCACTTATGCAGTCTGAGGTCTCAAAGACAAGCAGCCTTGGAATCTTCTATTCCATATCTTCACTGAATCTCTCCCATATACAGTCTCTTGTCACTCGATGCTGAGATAACTGAGGTAAAAAAGAACAGAACAGATAACTAGAAATAATTAAGGCTCAAGGAGACTTGGTACTCAAGGGCTCTTGTGTTAAGAGCCAATTTTGGTATAATTTTGGTATAACAGAGCAATTGGATTTAGATAAATTCCCCTCCTCAACACCATCCACAGGAAATGGTAGCCTTGCTTTTCAATCCAAGTCCTCTAACATCATGAGGATGACTGTACTATGGGAAATACGTTATCAGGCTCTAAATACTGATGTCCGCTGTCAGTCAATCCCCAAGAAAAAGACTTTCCCAGTCATTCTAGAAGAGAGGATCTATGTCTGTACCAGCCATTTTGTAAATGAGCTTCTGCTTGTTACACTTGGCCCTGGAAAGTTAGTTTCTCCTTTAACTCACAGCTTAAATTATTTGGTTTAGCCAGCGAAAAAATTTTAAGCTGAAATTTGTAACTAAATATTAAGAAGTATCATTCTTTTAACCAAATACATCATTGAAACAGACTTGATGGAAGTAAACTAAAAAAAAACTAGACTTACCAACTTCCCCTTGAGATCAAGAAGAAAATGGAACATTGCTCTTATTCTCACCACTTATGACCAATGGTGAGCCTCACTGATATCCATATAAAGACTGTTTGCGGCTGGGTGCAGTAGCTCATGCCTGTAATCCCAGTACTTTGGGAGGCTGAGGCGGGTGGTTTACTTGAGGTCAGGGGTTCATGACCAGCCTAACATGGTGAAACCTCATCTCTACTAAAAATCAGTTGGGCATGGTGGTGGGTGCCTGTAATCCCAGCTACTTGGGAGGCTAAGGCAGGGGAATCGCTTGAAACTGGGAGGTGGAGGTTGCAGTCAACGGAGGTTGCAGTGAACTGAGATTGTACCACTGCACTCTAGCCTGGCTGACACAGCAAGACTCCCTCTCAAAAATAAAAGAAAAAGAAAAAAAGGCTGTTTGCATGGAAATTCGAATAAAACAGATACCCACTTTTGACTCTGTATTCCCAGGATCCCTAAATGGGGGGTTCCAGTTTCGTTTTCCCCCTCGTTGGGACAGACTTACTGATGGGCTCGTCAGGGTGGAAAGCAACTTCATTGATGGAGCCAGCATGGCCAGGCAGCTTATACAATATTCTCCTGCTTGTAGTATCCCACACATACACAAACCTGTAAGGTATTATGAAAAGCAAGGGTAAGGCCTTCCAGAACTGGGGGAAGGGCAGAGGCATGGCTATTCAAAGGAAATGGAAGCAACTATTATTTACTTACCTTACATTTACTGAACCGTGTTCTGGCTTTTAGAAACTAGGAATAGAGAGTTTCAGTAAGACATGGACTTAGCTCTTGAGCAATAGGGTAGAGAAATAAAAATAACTAAAAATATAAGTAGTACTGGCATGTTCAAATATAAGCTTCTCAAATGGGAAACACCATAGAGAAGAAAAGAGTTTTTCCTGCAGACATCACACAAAAACCTTAAACCTTTTTTTTTTTTTTTTTGAGACGGAGTTTAGCTCTTGTTACCCAGGCCGGAGTGCAATGGCGCGATCTTGGCTCACCGCAACCTCTGCCTTCTGGGTTCAGGCAATTCTCCTGCCTCAGCCTCCAGAGTAGCTGGGACTACAGGCACGCACCACCATGCCCAGCTAATTTTTGTATTTGTAGTAGAGATGGGGTTTTCACCTTGTTGATCAGGATGGTCTCGATCTCTTGACCTCGTGATCCGCCCGCCTCGGCCTCCCAAAGTGCTGAGATTATAGGCATGAGCCACCGCGCCCAGCCCTCCACAAAAACCTTTTAAAAGGTGTCCAGTATAATTAGGCTACAGTTAACTTCACACTCATCCAGGAAGCCTAAGAGGTAACCCAACTCATGGCAGGAGGGAGCCTAGATTGTAGATCCAGGTGCACTTCTTAGTACTGTATTCAAACAGAGCCCAGAGAAGGGACAGGAAGTGTCTGATATATAAAATATTTACCGTATTTGCTAACCTAATACTCACTTGAGCCAAATTTTCCATTGAATTAACAGGCAAAAGGAATACTGAATTCTAGAATGGGAAGGGGCCAACAGAAATCAGCTTGTCTAGGTTGGGTGTGGTGGCTCATGCCTGTAATCCCAGTACTTTGTGAGGCCAAGATGGGTGGATCATCTGAGGTCAGGAGTTTGAGATCAGCCTGACTAACAAGGTGAAACCCGTCTCTATTAAAAATACAAAAAATTAGCCAGGCGTGGTAGTGTGTATTTGTAATCCCAACTACTTGGGAGGCTGAGGCAGGAGAACTGCTTTAACCTGGGCGACGGAGGTTACAGTGAGCCAAGACTGTGCCACTGCCCTCTAGCCTGAGTGACAGAGTGAGACTCTGTCTCAAAAAAAAAAAAAAAAAAAAGATTAAAAAAATCAGTTTGTCTAAACTCCTCGTTTTAGAGATAAGAAAACTGAGGTACAGTGACTTTTCCAAGGCAACACAGTTCATCAATGGCATAACTAAAATTAGAACTCTTAAAAAATTGAGTTTATTAAAGAATGTTCTTAGGAAGACAACATTTTTGATTTGTCATTAGAAAAAATCATGGGGCTGGGCATAGTGGCTCATGTCTATAATCTTAGCACTTTGTGGGGCCAAAGCTGGTGGACTGCTTGAGCTCAGGAGCTTGAGACCAGCCTGGGCAACATGGTAAAACCCCATCTCTACAAAAAAATTAGCTAAGCGTGGTGGTGCCTGTGGTCCCAGCTACTTGGGAGGCCAAGGTGGGAGGACTGATTGAGTCCAGCAGGTTGAGGCTGCAGCGAGCTGAGACGACACCACTGCACTCTAGCCTGGGTGATAGAGTGAGATCCTGTCTTAAGAAAAAAAAAAAAGCTATGCTTTTTTCATACTGTGTAATAAAGGTAATGCAAGAGACAACAGAGTTATAAGCTTCTTTCTACTGGAATACTCTGATATAACACAATGAAATTTCTGCAATGCTAGAATAAAAAAAAAACACTTCTACATTTCTCTTCAGAAGCGATGAATAGTAACAGAAGATGGCTATAAAAAGGTGATTATTTTCTTATTCAGTCTGTAGTTCTGGAGCCAGTACTTTTATCATCACAGGCCATAATTTTCACTTTGTCCACTTTAATAAGTTCTATCACCTTTGGGAATCCAGTATCATTCAACAGAAAAGTCTACATATTATTGCAGAATCTTTTTATTTTTCTAAATTAATATATATATATATTTTGGTAGAGACAGTGTCTTCCTATGTTGTTGAGGCTGGTCTTGAACTCCTAGCCTCAAGTGATCCTCCCACCTTTGCCTCCCAAAGTGCTGGGATGACAGGCATGAACCACCATGCATGGTATAAGGCAGAATCTGTCCGTATTCAGAGAGCCCCTGAAATCAATTCTGATCCTGATCCTCTGAGTCAACGATGAGTTTATAGCCTTCTCAAACTGAAGTAAAACTTGAAGGGCAATTTGAGTGAACTGCTGAGATTGCATGAGCTCATCTAGGCTTTCCTGAAGACTATTTCCCAACGTAGTATTTCTGTATAATTGATACGACATGGCTTAGGAGGAAGAAATTGTTCTTCTTTTTCAAGCTTGCCTTGATGTCCTGTGCTGAAGGCGTCCTGCCATGAAGAGGACAGCAGTGACCAGGAGCCCCGCAGGGCATTCCTGTGTTCCTGACCACCTCCTTCTGCAGCCACAGATACCACAGAGCTGCACCTAAGACCCTGGAGGCTCTTAATATACTCCAGTATTTTACTTCCGCTTACCATCTACAAATATACAGGCTAAAAATAAAAAGTTCCTTTGACCCTCAACCTTGCTTAAGTCATGAAAGGGGAAAATAAAGAGCTGTTATCTCTTAATCTGATGATGTAAAATTCATCTGTTGGTAAATATAAAGGGCTGGTGGCTTTGAATCAGGTATTTAAAATTATTTACATATTTTGTTTTGTGCAATCAACAATTCACCAGTACTTGATCATAAAAATGGTACATTCACCAGTACTGGATTATAAAATTCCTAGTTCTAATCCAACATTACACTTTTGGTCAAAAATGCAAATAAACAAGAGCTTCTTAATTCTACTATTTCGATGTCATCAGCTAGGCTCCATAGAAACTAAGTAAAAGTTCTAAGCAAGATGGAACAGAAGCAGGAACTCCATCTGTATAGACTCCTTGGCTCTGATACTCATTCCCTTCCTACTGTCTTCTTCCTTGTCATGCACAAAAAGCTGGTTCTCATTAATTCAACGAAAGGCAATGTAACAGTGAAAGAGTATGAGCTCTGGAGTCAGAAACACTGGGGTTCAAGTCTCAGTGCAGCTATTTACTAGCTAAGTAATCTTAGCTCACAGAAGTTAAATAATAATTGGAGATCATTTAATTTCTCTTAAGGTTTTTAGTTACAGTGATGGAGAAAATATTGATCTCATAACTTTATTGAGAAAAATGAGATAATATATACAAAGTGCCTGGCACACAGAATTAATTACAGCTATTGTTATTATGAGTACATTCATCATCAAAACAGAATCTCATGAAGTCAATGGGCTGAATAAATCCCTCTTGGCCGAGAGCCTGGCCAGCCTTTCTGTAGTCCATAGGACTATTTAGGATTTCAAGTTTGAATATGAGGAGATGATTTGTAAGTTATTAGTTAACAGAAAGGAGAAATTTGCCAAATCCAGGCCAAGCTGAAAAGCAGTTTTCTGAGGATACATTTCCCAGACACATAAAAGACAGAACTACAAATCTCTAAGGGTTTACACTTCAAGGCCTCACTCTTGATGGTTGCCAATTAGATGCTAAATTTAGAGGGGTTCCTTGCCCTCTCCTTACTTTGGCATGGCAACATTTGGCAGGAACCAGGAGCCTTATATAACAGAGCTGCTTGTTGACTTGGGGCTAGCTGGTGAGGTGGCCTGTTAAATCTGGCCAACCCCCAATAGGTGGAGAGGGGCAGGTTTCCTCTGACCATGCTTCCACATGTGATTTTTTTTTTTTTTTTTTTTTTTTTTTTTTAACGAGACGGCATCTTGCTCTGTTTTCAAGGCTGGAGAACAGTGGCATGATTGCACCTTGCTAATATCCTCAAACTCCTGGGCTTAAGGGATCCTTCCACCTCAGCCTACCAAGTAGCTGGGACTACAGGTGGGTACTACTATGCCTGGCTAATTTTTAAAATATATTTTTTTTGTAGAGACAGGGTCCTGCCATCTTGCCCAGGCTCGTCTCGAACTCTTGGGTGCAAGCCATCCTTCCACCTTGGCTGCTCAGAGTGTTGGGATTACAGGTGTGCACCACTGTGCATGGACCACATGTAAAGTTTAAAGGGAGAGTGGAGAGGGAAAGAGAAAAGAGGACATTGCAATTCAGAAAGGGCCAATGCCAGAAACAAACTGCTCAACAGAAAAAAAAAGTATGTAAATATAATTTAAAAATTTAATTACAAAGGAAAGATATGCTCTGCTGAAAATTATGTAAAAATACTTAGAATAGTTCTTACTCTGTCAGAACATGAGACACCTTAGTCTGTTTCTTAAAGTCTTCTTCAGTAACTTGACAACTTAAAATTCTTTTGATTTCCCCCTTCCAGGCAGCTCTCTAAACCACTTGCACTCAAATGACCAATGTGACACTTTCACCTGAATCCTTTCTATTTTCTCCAGAAAACACCTGAATACTTGTCCATTTTTCTTGGTATTAAACTTGTCAGGAAAAAAAAGTAGACTCTGGAATTTAAGTATGTTCAGTATTATTCATAAATAGAAAGGTAAGAGACAGACTACAGTGCAGCTTCTGCATGGCAGTGCTAGGGCCCCAAATAGGGGAAAACCCTGGAATATGCTGAAAGCCCTGGCTAGCCCAAGAAAGGCTTCCTATTTATTGGATGGTGCCTGTTTCAGGAGGGTTGGAAGAAAAACTCTAAAGGGGAGGACAGGATTAAGCTAAAAAGGGTCAAGATATTGCCCAATGGGAGCTAAATGCAGAAACTGCTATCAGGGGGTCTTATTCTTTACCATGCCACATTTGCAGCCCATCACACTTCAGACCTGGACATCCCTATTTAACCTGATTCTCCCCCAAGCACAGGTTACCACAGACATGCCAAATACAACAACATCTGACAGAATAATTCTCTTCCTTCTGTTTCTCATTCAGCATATAATGCCTGAGCCAGTTTAGATTCATATTTCATAAAGCCTTAGCTGATTAATTCAGCATTGGGTGGAAAATACCTAGTTCACATTTTATTACATCCTGCACCTAGCAATCATCGTACTTCCCACTAACCCAGACACAGCTCTGAATCATCCCTAACACAGGCAGCCATTACCAACAGCTGAGCTGTTATGTAGGGTAAAATTTGACTGCCATTCTTCAACTAGGAATTCATTCATATAATATAAACTAATCGGTTAGAAAAGTTCAAGCATTGACAACAGTCCCATGGGTTCACAGAAATGACTAAGATTCATTCCCTAATCTCTAGGAGAAAATAATTTAGTGAGGGTGCCTCACTTTATCTGATTGTAAGATGTAATAAATGCTAATAAAGCTTAGATGTATGAAATGCGATTACAGCACAAAGAACAATTATTATGCCCAAGAGGTAATAGAGAGAGGGAACCAGGGACAGTTTATAGATATAACATAGAGGTGGCTACTAGAGAGATACCGGAGTCTGGATAATAAAGAAGAGGGAATGTGAGAGAGAACCTGGAGGTGAGAAAGCAAAGGGAGGTTAGAATACAAGAATTCCATGTGAGCAGCACTGTGGTGATGGTGGGGGAGGTAGGTTAATATGTATTCAAATGAATTGAAGCATGGCAGAAGAAATGTGGTGAGGGAGACTGGAGACAGGTTATGAGACTTAGGGAACCCAACAGAATCAAACAAATTGTTGATCCTCTAGGTCTTAAATGTCTCCAAAGTGGGTAGAAATGATCTATTTGTCCAACATGGTTTCCGAAACCTTTCATGCCACACAGAGCTTCATCTTCAAGCAGTCATAACTCTATGTCTGCTCTAGCTCCATATCCATGTTTTATGTATCAAACAAGAAGATATCCTCCGCAGCTACATCATTTTTTTTTTTTTTTAGATGGAGTCTCACTCTTGTTGCCCAGGCTGGAGTGCAATGGTGCAATCTCGGCTCACTGCAACCTCCGTCTCCTGGGTTCAAGTGATTCTCCTGCCTCAGCCTCCCAAGTAGCTGGGATTACAGGCATGCTCCACCACGCCCAGCTAATTTTGTATTTTTAGCCGAGATGGGTTTCCCATGTTGGTCAGGCTGGTCTCAAACTCCTGACCTCAGGTGATCCATCTGCCTTGGCCTCCCAAAATGCTGGGATTACAGGTGTGAGCCACCATGCCCGGCCAGCTACATCATTCTTTACTTTGCACCCAGTAATGCTTACCTGTCGGCTGAGCCAGCTGCTATTTTGCTTCCATCAGGTGACCAAGAACATCTCAGAAGATTCTATGATAAATAAGAATTCACTGAATAGTAATATACCAAACTCCTCTTTGCAAGGCTACAGAATCACCGAGAGGCTTTAAATTTCCTAAGAAGAGTTTTAATTGTTCTTCTTAGGAAGATGGTTATCTTATATTCTATGGCTTCAAATAGCATACTTTGTTATTTTACACCATATAAAAACTGTAGAAAATGCTTAACTTACAATTAATTAGATTGAACCTCGCAACAAAATTTTGTTCTACTTATAAATGAAGGCTCCCTTTATCTTGATATTCATTATTCTTTTTTCCTATTTATCTTGAATAAAAGCAAACCCAACAAATAATTTTTTTTTTTTTTTTTGAGATTGGGTCTCGCTCTATTGTACAGGTTGGAGTGCAGTGGCACAATCATAGTTCACTGCAGTTTTGACCTCCTGGGCCCAAGTGATACTCCCACTTCAGCCTCCCAGGCAGCTAAGACTGCAGGCATATGCCATCACATGCAGATTTTTTATTTTTTGTAGAGACAGGGTCTCATTATGTTGCCCTGGCTGGTCTCGAACTCCTGGCCTCCTGCCTTGGCTTTCCAAAGTGCTGGGATTAAAACTGTGAGCCACCGTGCCAGGTCTAAAAAATAAAATTTGATTTATACAGTGAAACTGAATCTCAATGAGCTCTCAAAAGGAAAACATTAATCTCTATTAACAAATTCTCTGAGAGTAAAAGCTTCCTTCAATAGAGCTGACCTTTAAATTTGAGGGTCTGAAAAAATTCTGTCTCTCAGAACTTGGGCCACGGTAGGTATTGAGAGGAGAGATGTATTCTTAGGGTTCAAAAACATCTGGTCACGGGGTAGGGAGGCACGTGAGGGAGACCTTTTAACAGCTATGGGAGCTTGGGTTCCATATGAAAAACTGATTTAACGGCCGGGCGCGGTGGCTCAAGCCTGTAATCCCAGCACTTTGGGAGGCTGAGGAGGGGGGATCACGAGGTCAAGAGATCAAGATCATCCTGGTCAACATAGTGAAACCCCATCTCTACTAAAAATACAAAAAAAAAATTAGCTGGGCATGGTAGCACGTGCCTGTAATCCCAGCTACTCAGGAGGCTGAGGCAGGAGAATTGCCTGAACCCAGGAGGCGGAGGTTGCGGTGAGCCGAGATCTCGCCATTGCACTCCAGCCTGGGTAACAAGAGCGAAACTCCGTCTCAAAAAAAAAAAAAAAAAAAAAAAAAAACTGATTTAAGAGGGTAAAATTCCCAGGTAATTAAAAGGCCAGTAGTGTCGTGTTGAAGGTGGTGTGAAGTCAGATGCCCTCAGTTTTGAGAGCTGGCTCTATTACTTTTGGGCTATGTGACTGGCTTCTTCCCAATCACGAATATTTCTATTAGTTTTATTTTTGGCAACAACAGTTTTGATTAAGAGCAGTGTTACCGGAATGAAGTCCATTCTCAGCAGAGCTACTGCTCTCTATCCTTAGTACCACCTGAAATGTTTCTTTGAATTAAATGAACAGTCAAACTCCCCTGCCATGTAGAACTCACCTTTTCAAAGTTGTGTACATTTCCTTGAAATATCTTTACACACCTCTCTTTGGGGGCAAATGGCCGGACATCCCAGACACGAACTGCAAAACAAATCCAAATAAACAAACCAACCAAAACAACTATCAGCCAGAGGCCTCCTGAGCACCCAACTGAAATTAGTATCATGTCAATGACAGATGCCGTTTCCAGGATGGGGAAGTCCAATATGACTCATTACTACCTGTTATGCCTCTTTTCTTTTTCAAGCAGGAAAAATACATCTAAATCCCAATAACCGAGGCTAGCTGAGGAGGCAGAAGGAAAAATGTCACTCACAACGTTGGTAATTTGCAACAGAATGCAGTTGGGTGTGATACTAATTTCAAAGATATTTTGCAAAAGAGTCCTCTGCCAGCAAAGCTTCAGTAAGACAAACTAAATACCATGAACTACTATGACAATGAACTTATAAAAACCAAACTTATACTGCCCTTTCCTAATTTCCCTCATCTGGGCACCTGACAGTCTAAAACTGAACAAGGTCAGATATATATAAAATACATAAAAAGTTGTTGGACTCAGTGGCTCATGCCTGTAATCCCAGCACTTTGGGAGGCTGAGGCGGGTGGATCACCTGAGGTCAGGAGTTCGAGACCAGCCTGACCAATATGGAGAAACCCCGTGTCTACCAGAAATACAAAATTAGCCAGGCGTGTTAGCTCATGCCTGTAATCCCAGCTACTCGAGAGGATGAGGCAGAAGAGTCGCTTGAACCCAGGAGGTGGAGTTTGCGGTCAGTGAGATTGTGCCATTGCACTCCAGCCTGGGTAACAAGAGCGAAACTCCATCTCAAAACAAAACAAAACAAAAGTCAAACAAATCAAAAGAGTGTTGCACGATACCAAAAATCAGAAAAAGTAAATACTGATTCTAATTCTAGCTCTGTTGCATATTTGGGTGACATCAGGTAAACAGTGAGATTGTGTCTTGGTTTTCTTGCTCTGTAAAATGAAGAGAAATTATCTGTTCTTTTAAAAATAATACTATTTTATTTATTTTTTTGAGATGGAGTCTCACTCTGTCACCCAGGCTGGAGTGCAGTGACACGATCTCAGCTCACTGCAACCTCTGCCTCCAGGGTTCAAGTGATTCTCCTGCCTCAGACTCCCGGGTACCTGGGACTAGAGGCATGTGCCACCACACCCGGCCAATTTTTGTATTTTTTAGTAGAAACGGGATTTCACATATTGGACAGGCTGGGTCTCAAATTCCTGACCTCGTGATCTGCCCACCTTGGCTTCCCAAAGTGCTGGGATTACAAGCGTGAGCCACCGCGTCCAGCATATTTATTTTTGAGATGGAGTTTCACTCTTGTTGCTCAGGCTGGAGTAAGTGGCACGATCTTGGCTCATTGTAACCTCTGCCTCCTGGATTCAAGTGATTCTCCTGCCTCAGTCTCCCAAGCAGCTGGAATTCAGGCACTTGCAACCATGCCTGCCTTGTTTTTCTATTTTTAGCAGAGACAGAGTTTCACCATGTTGGCCTGGCTGGTCTTAAACTCCTGACCTCAGGTGATCCAACTGCCTTGGCCTCCCTAAAGTGCTGGGATTACAGGTGTGAGCCACCATGCCTGGCCAATAACACTATTTTAAAGATCCAATGAGATAACGTATGTGCAAAGGTTCTAAAATTTGTAGGCAACAAAAATAATGTATAATTTTATTATGCAGCCATAATAAGAAATTATTCTATTAATTTTTTCCCTTATTTTAATATCAATTTAGGAAACTTCACTGTTCCTCACTATAAAGAATGCTAGAACTAGCTAGGCGTGGTACTTGGGAGGCTTGCTTGAGCCCAGGAGCTTAAGACTAGCCTGGGCAACACAGCAAGATCCTGTCTTGCCAAAAAAAATTTTTTTAAATGGTAGATTATATGTGTATAAACATCTATTGTAAGCAGTAACTATAGCCGTTGTAACTGAAGCTATATCTGTAGTGGAATTTGAGTGATGTCATTTTATCTGAGTATGAAAAAAGTATTATCAATTCTTGGAGTCAGGCATAAAAAGGCAAAGCTATGCATGAAAGTTTGTTATTAAGAATATAGTCAAAAGGTAAAGATGGCCATTCATTCAACAAATATTTATTAAGTATTCAATGAATGTCAGGTATTGTTTTTGCTATAAAATGTCAGGGAATACATTTTAGTTCCTGACAAGCCTGTAAGTTTGTATACCAGGGCCATTTCCAAACTTCTCAACATTAAGCATATAATCCAGCAAGCCACCTTACTTTTTGTCTATAGTAATCCATCCTCCCACCCTACAACTCAAAAACAAGTAAAGAGAAATAGGAAGAGTATGTTTATGTAAATCCAGAATGTCGAGATGTTTTATTGAAGACCTCTTTCCACACCAATGCTTTTGGAGTGGGGAGGAAAGACAGACTGGCAGGAAAGAGCAAAAGAGATCACTCAAGCTTGGTGTTCTCTGAAAACGCACGAGGACTGCCTTGAATAGACTTCTAAATTCACATCTTTCTCATTAAACTCATCACCTAGTTTCTTATGTCCTGAGAGCTGAGACGGATCTTAAAGGTAAAGTCCAGTCTTCTTATCAGTGTAGAAACTGGTGCCCAGAGAGAAGAATTATTGTGTGCAATGTCGTCCAGGAACAAGACAGAGATCTGAGACTAGATTCTTTACTATCTTACTAGCTTTCACCATTACAACATGTTCTAATTGTCTGATGCAATTTGTGAGCAATCTTTGACTTTTTCCTTGGATCCTGGGAGAGATTTCCTCTCCAAAGTTACCTGTATTATCCATTGCATTGGACAAGAGATAAGAGCCTTCAGAACTTAAACTCAGGCCAGTCACTGAATCTGCATGGCCTCTCATGGTGTAGGTTAGCTTGTTCTGGCGTAGGTCCCAGACCTGCAAAAACAAAAAGGTGCCCCTGGATCAAATTAATAAAAGTAGAGAAAAAGAATGACACAAGAAACAAGAGTCAATTGCCCAGAGATATTGGTATTACTCTACCATAAGATACAGGATTTCTTTCAAAGAGAAAAACACCTTTGTCTTTTTTTTTTTTTTTTTGAGACACGATCTCACTCTGTCACCCAGTGCAGTGGCACTACCATGGCTCACTGTAGTCTTGATTTCCCAGGCTCAGGTAATTCTCACACCTTAGCCTTCCTAGTAGTTGGGACTACAGGAGCGTGCTACCATACCCAGCAGATTTTTTTTGTGTATTTTTGTAGAGACAGGGTTTCACTATTTTGCCCAGGCTAGTCTTGAACTCCCGGGCTCAAGCGATCCTCCCACTGCATCCTCTCAGTGTTTGGATTACAGGCATGAGCCACTACCTGGCCAACCTCTGTCTTTCTAAAAAGGTACTTAAGGTTACTATGTTTGACTAGACAAATATAAACTAATGCATAACAAATGTTAAGATAAAGTTTTAAACAAAAACGGAATTCAGAAAGGTTATTTTCAAATCATAGCAAAATAATTAAAAACAAACTATTATAGAAAAAACTAAAGAGTGCTTAAAATGCTTAAACTATGATTCTTAGTCATTAAAAATTATTGGAAATACATAAAACCAGTAAACAATATAAAAAATATAGATGCTTGGGCTGGGTGCAGTGGCTCACGCCTGTAATCCATCCCAGCACTTTGGGAGGCTGAGGCGGGTGGATCACCAGGTCAAGAGATCGAGGCCATCCTGGTCAACATGGTGAAACCCCGTCTCTACTAAAAATACGAAAAATTAGCTGAGCACGGTGGCGCGTGCCTGTAATCCCAGCCACTCAGGAGGCTGAGGCAGGAGAATTGCCTGAACCCAGGAGGCGGAGGTTGCGGTGAGCCGAGATCGCGCCATTGCACTCCAGCCTGGGTAACAAGAGTGAAACTCCGTCTCAAAAAAAAAAAAAAAAATATATATATATATGCTTAAAATTTTTCATTTAATGCCACAATATGTGACAATAAATGTATACATATGCACATGTATGGGCATGTACATATACTATGGAAAAGCACATTTATTAAAAGAAAAACAAATTATGGATTCACTATTGCTTGTGTAGGAAAGGTAAGATACAGAAAATAACCTAAATGTCAAGCAGGAAAAATTGACAGTTTATTAAATTATGGCCCATAAGCACACTGCAAAGCTAAATTCTCATACAGGAGATAGCATGTCAGAGTATAAAGAGTAGTGACTTAGGGTAAGAATAAACTGGTCCCTGCCACTTAGGGTTATGTGTCATTGGGTCACTAACTCTTTCTGGGCCTGTTTCCTGGTCTGAAAGATTAAGGATAACAATAGCTACTTCTTAAGGCTGATGTAAGGATTATAAATAAGAATGCTTAGCATATGCCTGGCACATGGCAGGTCCTCAATAATGTGTAGCTATTGTTAAGCAGTTCCTAAAAATAACTCCCAAGACCAAATGTAAAAATATTTACATAGTAAGCTATTCAGCAAAAAAGGAAAATACAAAACAGTATTTATCTTTACACAGACTATACCTATGTAAAACATGTATTTTTATTTTTATTTTTATTTATTTATTTTTTTGAGACGGAGTTTCACTCTTGTTACCCAGGCTGGAGTGCAATGGTGCGATCTCGGCTCACCGCAACCTCCGCCTCCTGGGTTCAAGCAATTCTCCTGCCTCAGCCTCCTGAGTAGCTAGGATTACAGGCACGTGCCACCATGCCCAGCTAATTTTTTGTATTTTTAGTAGAGATGGGGTTTCACCATGTTGACCAGGATGGTCTCGATCTCTCGACCTCGTGATCCACCCGCCTCGGCCTCCCAAAGTGCTGGGATTACAGGCTTGAGCCACCGTGCCTGGCTAATTTTTTTTTTTTTTTTGAGACGGAGTTTCGCTCTTGTTGCCCAGGCTGGAGTGCAATGGCGCAATCTCGGCTCACCGCAACCTCCGCCTCCTGGGTTCAGGCAATTCTCCTGCCTCAGCCTCCTGAGTAGCTGGGATTACAGGCACACGCCACCATGCCCAGCTAATTTTTAGTATTTTTAGTAGAGACGGGGTTTCACCATGTTGACCAAGATGTTCTCGATCTCTTGACCTCGTGATCTACCCGCCTCAGCCTCCCAAAGTGCTGGGATTACGGGCTTGAGCCACCGCGCCTGGCTCTTAAACATGTATTTTTAAGCTAACAGAAATAGTCTGGAAAGTCACATGGAAAAAAAAAACAGTAATTTTGTTAAGGTCACTGGTATTACATAAAATACAAAATTTCCCCCAATTTTATTTCATATTGCAATGTAGTATTTTTCTAAGTGAATACAATTTTTGCTGTACCTTAAATCAAGACACTTTTCCTTATCTAAAAATGAGTTAGGTGTTACACACCATTTTCTCCATCAGTAACTCACTCATGTGTGGAGTCCAACACATTTTATATACAATCATTTTTTTATGTCAAGATGTTGTTCCTTATCTTCCGAGCAGACACTGCTGAAATCTAGCATTGTAATTAGGAATGTGTTTTGCCAATCCCTCATAGAAGTGGTATGCTGTTTCCAAACTTCCTTGAGGCCTATACACCTTGTTTGTGCAGGGCCAAAAGCATTCACGATTTGCCACAAAAAAATCTACAGCAGGGGCCGGGCATGGTGGCTCACACCTGTAATCCCTGCACTTTGGGAAGTCGAGGTGGGTGGATCACCTGAGGTCAGGAGTTCAAGACCAGCCTGGTCAACATGGTGAAACCTCATCTCTACTGAAAATACAAAAATTTGCCAGGTGTGGTGGCAGGTGCCTATAATCCCAGCTACTTGGGAGGCTGAGGCAGGAGAATTGCTTGAACCCGGGAGGCGGAGGTTGCAGTGAGCCAAAATCGCACAAAACTCCGTCTTTAAAAACAATAATAATAATCTAGAGCAGGAATTTAAGCAAAACATTTTTCAAGTATCCTAATCAGCTGTTCAATGAAAATCTGGGCATCTGCTTAGTGAAGGTACTTCTGGAGATTAAAAAAAAAAGACATAGCCTCTGCTCTCAAGGAGTGTTCAGTATAACAAGGAAAACTTAAGACGTTTAAACAAGTAACGTGAGGCTTATGCAAGGTACAGTTGGCAGTTGCAAAGAGAACAGAGGGGTTAACTCTGGTGGAACAGAGATGTGAGTGAGAAAGGGAAGCTTCCACAGAAAATGAAGCACCTGAGTGTAGTCTGGAAGAAGGAAGATTTTTTTTTAAAACTTAGACAAATAGAAGGGTATTTACTAGGAGAAGGTAAGTAGAGGGGCCTGAAAAAACTGCTGGATTCTAAGAAATTAGGCACTCAGAGGCCGATGATGAGGTAGACAGGCAGAGGCCAGCTCATGAAAGGTTTTGAATGGCTGGCTTGCATTTTATTTCCTTCGCTGGGGGATCACAGAAGGGTTCAAAGTAGAAGAATGAGTCATTCAGATTTACATTCTGGAAAGATCCTTCTTGAGACCAGAGGATGTAAAGTTAGTGAGGATCTATCCTATTTGTGTGTTTGTGTAGTAGAAATGGGGTTTAGCTATGTTGGTCAGGGTCATCTTGAACTTCTGGCTTCAAGGAATCCACCCGCTTTGGCCTCCTAAAGTGCTGGGATTACAGGACATGGCCACCACACCCAGCCTAATCTATCCTTTTAACCATTACATTAAAAAATAAAAATTACAAACTGAACTCCCATCCTAACTAGAGCTCAGGATTATAAGAAATGCCAAAGACTGCCAGCCAGACCAATAGACTCTCAAGTGACATTTTTCTTTTTTCTTCATTTTCTTCTGACTCCCCAATCCTATCACCAGGGAGGAAGTTCCAAGAGATTGATGGGAACAGCATATCTGCTCACAAATATACACAGAATTTGTTCACCTTCGGTTTTAAAAAGGGTTCCCATTCCTTATTTCTCTTTCTCAGAACAGGCAGTGTTACCTAAGATAGACTGAGAAACAAACAAAAACCAGGCTCTCTGAGGAGCATCTCCTAATGTAGAGAGGCAATGTGGTGATTTGTCACGCAAGTGCTCAAGACTGGTAAGCCTCTAAGTGCTTCAAAGGTACGTATTTGTTAATTGACTAGAGGTAACAAGATAAGAGTGGTAAGATTATTAGCCCTCTAGAGATAAAGCTCTGGTCCTGGCTCTACCACTGTCTGAGTGATGACTATTTGATCTTGGCCAGATCAATTAACCTTGTAGGGCCTCACTTAGTCACCTATGAAATGAAAGATGGAGGTGATGCCTAAGGTTCTTTTCAGGTTTGACATTTCCTGAGTCTTTCTAATCGAGCCTCTCTTTTGCATGTTGAGAGAAATGTATGAGGTCTTTAGGACAACTAAGAGTCTTCCAGGTTCGACAGAATAATTACTCTCCCCTCTGCATGTAACAATTAAAAAAAAAAAAAAAACACCTTTTTTTTTCTTCTCTGAGACAGAGTTTCGCTCTTGTTACGCAGGCTGGAGTGCAATGGCGCGATCTCAGCTCACTGTAAGTAACCTCTGCCTCCTGGGTTCAGGCAATTCTCCTGCCTCAGCCTCCTGAGTAGCTGGGCTTACAGGCACGTGCCACCATGCCCAGCTAACTTTTTTGTATTTTTAGTAGAGACAGGGTTTCACCATATTGACCAGGATGTTCTTGATATCTTGACCTCATGATCCACCCGCCTCGGCCTCCCAAAGTGCTGGGATTACAGGCTTGAACCACCGCGCCCGGCTTAAAAACCTTTTTTTTTTTAATTTTTGTTTTTTTGTTGTGATGGAGTCACACTCTGTTGTCCAGGCTGCACAGCAGTGGCATGATCTTGGCTGGCTGCAACCTCTACCTCCCAGGTTCAAGCAATTCTCATGCCTCAGCTTCCCAAGTAGCTGGGTCTATAGGTGTGTGCCACCATGCCTGGCTAATGTTTATATTTTTAGTAGAGAAGGGGATTGTACCATGTTGGCCAGGCTGGTTTGAAACTCCTGGCCTTAAGTGATCTGCCCTCCTCAGACTCCCAAAGTGCTGGCATTATAAGCATTTTGTGCCAGGCCACCGAGCCACCGTGCCGGGCCAGCAACAGGGTATTTTTAATAGGGAGAAGACTAACTTCTGAGTAAATTCTAACACACATCCCTACCTCTCCAGTCCATCTCTGTTATATGGGAGCAAAAATAAAGAAATAATTCTAGCAACCTGGTTCAAATATTAACTGCTGCTGCCAGAAAACAATATGGCAGCCTATATGTATCCCAAATAAGAAACACCCTTATACTTGTTAACACATTAATTTTCATCTGGATAGCTATTCTAAGAAAACAAAAACAGGAAAAGTTTAATGCACAAATATGTCCATAGCAGCATAATCTGTGATTGTGACTCAATTGAAACAGCCTAAATGTCCAATGACATGGTTGTCACTAAATTATTCAATATTGTAATAATAAAAATAAAAATGATGATGATGATGACAGCTGACATATATTGAACATACTATGTGCCTGCCACAGTGCTAGGAATACTATATCCTTACTTCATTTAATTCATGTAACAATTACATGAAGTGAGCTGACAATTCCCATTTAGAGATTAGAAATGGAGACGATGAGGTTCAAACAACTTTCTTTCTTTCTTTTTTTTTTTTTGAGACAAAGTCTCACTGTGTGCCCAGGCTGGAGTGCAGTGGCACAATCTCAGCTCACTGCAACCTCTACCTCTCGGGTTCAAGGGATTCTCCTGCTTCAACCTCCTGAGTAGCTGGGATTACAGACCTGCGTCACCACGGCCAGCTAATTTTGTATTTTTAGTCGAGACGGGGTTGCACCATGTTAGGCTGATCTCAAACTCCTCACCTCTTGATCTGCCTGCCAAGTGCTGGGATTACATGCGTGAGCCACTGTGTCCAGCCTTAAAACAATTTTCTTAAGATCATAAAGCTAACAATTAAGTGGCAGAATCAGAAAAATGATCTCAATTTCGCTGAAGCCCAGGAATTCAAGGTTAGAGTGAGCTACGATTCTACCACCACCCTGCAGTCTGGGCAACATGAGACCTCAAAATAAAACAAAAATGGACAAGAAAATGATTCTAACTATAATTCTAAGAAAATAAGAATGATTTGATAGAAAGCAACTAGAGGTGGGCTTAGTTTAGGAAATACTTTCTAGAAGAGATAACTATACTGAGATCTGAAGACAAGACAGCAAGTCACTGCAATGCATCAAAGGTTGGGGGGGTGGTTCATGATAAAGGACCAGCTATGTGGTAATAAGCGAAAAGAGATCATGGCTGGGGCTGGGCACAGTGGCTCAAGTCTGTAATCCCAACACTTTGGGAGGCCAAGGAGGGAGATTGCTTGAAGCTAGGAACATGGTGAGACCTTAGTTCTAAAATTTAAAAAAAAAAAAAAATTGACGGGGTGTGGTGGTTCATGCCTGTAATCCCAGCACTTGGGAAGGCTGAGGCAGGTGGCTCACCTGAGGTCAGGAGTTCAAGATCAGCCTGGTCAACATGGTGAAACCCCATCTCTACTAAAAATACAAAAAAATTAGCCAGCCGTGGTGGCAGGTGTCTGTAATCCCAGCTACTTGGGAGGCTGAGGCAGGAGAATTGCTTGAGCCCAGGAGGTTGCAGTGAGCTAAGGTTGCACCACTGCACTCCAGCCTGGTGCCTGGTGACGGAGTGAGACTCTGTCTCAAAAATAAATAAATAAATAAATAAATAAAACCAAATTAATGTTTTTAATTTTAAACATTAATAATAGAACATAATTTAGAATTGCCGAGGTGAGAGAATTATCTCTACTGAAAATACAAAAATTAGCAGGGCATGGTAGTGGGCGCCCGTAATCCCAACTACTTGGGAGGTTGAGGCAAGATAATTGCTTGAACCCGGGAGGTGGAGGCTGCAGTGAGTCAAGATCCCACCACCGCACTTCATCCTGGCAGCAGAGCGAGACTTGCCTCAAAAAACAAAAAACAAAAAAGGATAAAGACTACATGGACACAATGTAAATTTATAAACTAGAGTAAGTAGGAATTCACCAATAAAAACCAGCATTGAAGGGCTCCCCAAAGAAACAAGCAATATTTTAGAAAAAATAGTAGTGCTGTACACAATTGCTGTATTCATGGAACTACATTTATACATTTCCCATATTTGAGGTTAAGTTCAAATTTCAGAGCCAAACTGGTATAAAACAGCAGACAGTGATGGAGATTTGTTATCTGCAGAAATAACCCTAAAGGAAGGCATAACATACAGCATATCTTTAAGAAAACATGAAAAACCTTCAAATTCTGAAAGGGGACTGGGTATACTTTCTTTAGGACTATATATCACTATTGTCATTAGAAGGCCTAGAAACAGTCTAGATAAAGCGCCCGAAGTAAGCCATACTTTCAGCAGTAAAAACACTTTACTAACTCAAGAGTATTACAGTTTAGGTTAGTCTACCCCCACAGAGAAGATCAGGGCATCAATCAGATTCTTACAGCTTAAATAAAAGAAGCTAGCCTCAAAAGGTTATATATATATATATGATTCCTTATATGATATTCTCAGAAAGAAATTATAGGGAAAAGAAGAGATCAATAATTAGGAAGTGTTAGGTCTGACATAAGGGGAACACTTAGGAAATTTTTGGAGTGATGAAAATTGTTAAGTACTCTACTGGTGATAGTGAATGTATGCAAACATTAGAATTCTTCTAACTATGGCTGGGTGTGGTGGCTCTGCTTAAAGAAGGTGCTTAAAGTCACAAAACTAGAAAATGGTGAAACTGGGATTAGAACCCAAGTCAATTACTTGAATGTTTGAGCTACATTGTACTGCCATAAGGTCTACGGCCTCTTTCTCTAATATTACCTTCTCTCATTCTTAGAAAAACTTAGAATTCTAATTCCCTTTCCACAGTGTCGAAAACACAGTGAGAGATAAGGATACAGAATCACAAACTGATTCAATGCTCTCATTAAACTGGTTAAAAAAAATTTTGAATGTCTTTAAAAGGAAATGCACTCTATTTTTAACAGTCCCCTCCAGAGACTTCACATTAAGTGCCTGATCCCTGACAGCATTTATAAGATCTGCAATACAACCTTTAATTTAGGAAGTCAATCAAGATAGGAGAAAAAGAAAATAAGTTTCAACTTACTATTTTTCTTTCAATTGGTATTAAGTGCAAAGCTACCATAATCTCAGAAGTTTGAAAAAATTCGTTTCTAAGTGCAGATAGATGAAATGGAAGTATATCATAAATATCAAGCATACCTTGATATCATTGTCTATTCCACCAGAAATAATCTGATCACTTGTGTCATTGAAGGTCACAGCTAACACCTGGTATGTGTTCTGAAATGTCTGGATGGCTGCTTTCTTCCGGATGTCCCAAAGCTGAAGCAAAGGACAAGAGAGTCTATCAGTAACATCATTCTAAGAAGTAACTGCATAATACAAATATCCCTAAGTATGAGGACTTTGTGGACACATCTATAATTGGGATCCCATTTCACAAACTCCTTGATATCCTAACAACACATATGGTAAGCAGTGTCTTCAATTTTGCCAAGATATTTGAGGGCAAATAACAACTTCGGTTATATTTTCAGACTCTTTTGTTAAAGTGAATAGAGTTAAATCAACATACTCTTAGAATGAAATTCCTCTGAAGTCTTAGTTCATATATTTTTTTAGGACAACAAGGGTATCAGATAGTTTCTTCAACTGTAGATACTAACTCATTAGTGGGCTACGATCCACATTAAAAAAAAAAAATAGGGTATGTCAGTGAAAATAGTATAATAAACAATGACAAAAGCTTGTCCCTCCACAAAAGCAGCAAATTAAGCAGCAAAAATCTGTCAGAATCAACTGTTGGAATTCCAGAAACTAATCAAAAGTTTATAATAACCAGGCAAACCCTTAATGAGGAAAAAGGGAAACAAAAAACCACCTGAGTCCCAGTAAAAGGGCTTTGTAGTGTTTTAACTTATGCTGGCTCTGTCTCCTACTCAGCAATGGCTTTCAAGGTAACCCACATTCCTAGACGCTTTCCTAGTACTGAGGAAGCAAAGGGGTCCTATTTCTTATTGTTAAAGAATAAACAATAAAAATTGTTTATTTTTACCTATCTGGCTGGCTCTCTGAAGGATGAGCTCAAAGGACTTGCATTTATTTTGCCTAACTTGGAACTTTACTTGAAAACATTTAAAAGAAAAGACATTATTAGCCTCTGGTGCCTGGGGGCAAGGAAAAACAGTTGGGGAATCAAGTCCAAACTTCTTAACTTGGAATTCAAGGTCTTAACAATTTGGATCCCATATATTTTATAAACTGTACTATAGTCTTTGCCTCAAAAGATTCTTTACTCAGGTCAAATCTATCTTTGTCTTTCTCCTAAAAGTTACGGTAGTCAAAGTTTGTTTAAAATAATTTAGAATTTTAGTTCCAGATAGCTATCACTTTTTTTTTTTTTTTTTTTTTTTTTTTTTTTAAGGCAGAGTTTTGCTCTTGTTACCCAGCCTGGAGTACAATGGCGCCATCTCGGCTCACTGCAACCTCCACCTCCTGGGTTCAGGCAATTCTCCTGCCTCAGCCTCCTGAATAGCTGGGATTACAGGCATGAGCTACCATGCCCAGCTAATTTTTTGTATTTTTAGTAGAGATGGGGTTTCACCATATTGACCAGGATGGTCTCGATCTCTTGACCTCATGATCCACCCGCCTCGGCCTCCCAAAGTGCTGGGATTACAGGCGTGAGCCACTGTGCCTGGCCTGCTATCACTTTTAATAATTATTTTACTTTGAAACAATCATAAGTTTATAGAAAACCTGGAAGTAAAAAAGAACACTTTTTTTGGTCTAAATCATTTGAGAGTAAGTTGCTTATGTAATGCCTTATCACTCCTTTTTTTTTGTTTTTTGTTTTTTGTTTTTTGAGAGAGTCTTCCTTTGTTGCCCAGTCTGGAGTGCAGTAGCATGCTCTCCACTCACTGCAACCTCTACCTCCCGGGTTCAAGCGATTCTCCTGCCTCAGCCTCCTGAGTAGCTGGGATTACAGGCACCTACCACCATGCCCGGCTAACATTTTTGTATTTTTAATAGAGACAGGGTTTCTCCATGTTGGCCAGGCTGGTTTTGAACTCCTGACCTCAAGTGATCCGCACACTTCAGCCTCCCAAAGTGCTAGGATTACAGGCATGAGCCACTGAGCCCAGCCCCTTATCACTCCTAAATAGTGTTTGTCTACAAAGATGTTCTCCTACATCATCTCAACATAACCATTAAAATCAAGAAATACAGATACATTATCACCATTTTATCCTCAAATCCCACTCAAGTTATACCACCTATCCCAAAAGTCTTTTATTGCAAAGATTTGGTCTGGAATCATATGTTAAATTTAGACTCCAGCCTGGAAGATTCTCAGACTTTTCTTGAGTTTTATGAACTCAACACTTCTGAAAGTTACAGGACAGTTAGGATCCTCAATCTAGGTTTGTCTTATGTTTCCTCATGATTAGATTTAAGTTATACATCTTTGGCAGGAATATCACAGAAATGATGTTGCATCTTTGTTGTATCCTAGCAAACGGCTCATGACTTTGACTCATCCCATTACTACCTATGGTTGATTTAATAATTTAGTTAGGATGTTCTTTTGACAAGCTTTCTTGCACAAGATGTTCCAGGCTTATCTTGTACTTTCACTGCCCTCAGCCTGAAATAGGAACCCTGGTTCCTTTTAGTGGAAAACAGTACTTAAAGGCCATGACCCGTGAAGTAAGGGGTGCTCATTGCTAATGGGGTCTTGTTGCTCCGAAACATTTTCAAGTGGATGGTCAGGCAATACATGTACATTTAGGTACACCCACACCTATACACTCACACATTCATGTCTTTTTTCTATGCCTATCTGTCTCTATACTTAATGTCAAGAGTTTACACATACACCTCACACAAGATACATTTTAGTTTTCTCCTCTTTTGTACTGGTAACTCCTTTCTCAGAGAGAGAAATCAGCCTTCCATTAAACTCAATATATTCACTTATTTGATTACGCTTCCTGCATGCAACCAGTTTCCCATATTCTATTCCATCCTTCCCCTGCATAGCTGTCCTTTCCCTATTTGAACTGTTGATTCCTATTCTTGGTTGAACTTATCTGGGACTCCTCCTTACCCAACTTCAATCATTCCTCTGTGTGAACACTCTCATCACTTGCTATGGCTCCTTTCCAGTCTGCACTTCAAGTTCCAGGCATGCTGTCATCATCTTGCTCAGTCTCAGACTCCCTACACCAAATTGCTTCTACCCTGTGTGGATGCTCTCGGTTCAGGCTTTGACATCCACACTCTCCCCATATTGCTTCATGAATAGACGACCCTTTCACTCAACTAGGGCACTGACTCTCCATGTTAGGCTGCTGCCCCTGCCTCACCCTCAAATTCCCCACACTGGTTACCTACCCTGTGTTGTACAGATGCCTTCCTCACCCTCTGACTACTCCCTACAATGTACTGCCCTGCCCTGTGTTGATACCTCTCGTTACCACATATGGGCTCTGACACCCCACCCTGGGCCACCTTGGCCCACCTCCAACTATAGCACCTTCCCTGCTTTGGCCTATATAACTGGCTTTAGGACTGAAATACTCATGAAAGGGAAAAATTTATATATATATGAGTACATACAAACACATATACACATACATACACACAGTATTTCACTTTATTAGAAGAATGTGCTTGATAAAAAGTTGAAAACGATCTATATGCATAATGCCCAGAACATTACTTCTAAACTAAAAATGCAAGTGCTGTTGGGAACCTCTGCTTTCTGTTAAGAAATGAAACGTAAAAAGCAACATGACTTTTCTCCTTTTAAACTGAAGTTATTCAATTCCTGTACCTGCAACCTAGTAACAAAAAAACAGTAACACAAAAGCATTCCAACTTCCCGAGTAACTGAAAAGTACGTTGCAAAAAGTTATTTAATGATGCCTTAAACATAAATATACTGAAATTAAAAATAGGAGCTGGTGAAAAAGCAGTCAGCTTTAGGTGATTTGACATATTGCTCATTAAAAAAAGTATTAAGTATTGAGTAATGAGGTAAAAATAACTATTCCAAATCATGTTTACTTCAGGCAGAAGAGAAGCAAAAAACCAAAAGAAGGAAGACTACTTTTTCTACTACTTAAATAGTTCCTAGATATTTATTACAGCAGGCCCTCAATAATAAAGTTAACAAAATTCACTAGGAGTATTTCTACCTGTTATCTTCTGAAATGCCAATTAGCAAATCAGCTACTGTTAAGACCCTCAAACTACAGTAACATCTAGGTCAGAGCTCTGATTTAGAAAACAATCTTATACCACAGACTCTCCTCCCATCCAAGCATCAAGGAGCCCCAAGTGATTAGGCACAGGAAAACCACTTAGCAGAAAAACATCTCGGCCAAGTGTGGTGGCTCATGCTTGTAATCCCAGCACTTTGGGAAGCGGAGATGCATTGATTACCTGAGGTCAGGAGTTCGAGATCAGTGTGGCCAACATGGTGAAACCCTGTCTCTACTAAACATAAAAAAAGCATCCGGATGTGGTGATGGGAACCTGTAATCCCTGCTACTCAAGAGGCTAATGCTGGAGAATCACTTGCACCCAGGAGGCAGAGGCTACAGTGAGCAGAGATTGTGCCACTGCACTCCAGCCTGGGCGACAGAGTGAGATCCTGTCTTAAAGAAAAAAAAAAGCAAATTCATTTAAAAAGCAGTATGGGGGTGGAGTCTCCCAGATGTATTCTTTAGAAGTCCCTCCCTGTTTAATAATTAAAATATAAACCAGAGTCCAAAATTCATGTCAAAGAAAGAATCAAATGTGGTACGACGCACTGTGTCCATGTGTGCCTCTGAGTTATTTCTAGGCCTCAGTTTCCTTATTTGTAAAATAAGGATGCTCAATGAGATCAGTGGCTCCCAGAATGTCAGACTGGCTACTATGAATCACTTGAAGGACACATTAAATAAGTCCTGATTCCCATTTCAGATCCACTGAACCAAATTCTTTGGGTATTTTTAACAGGTTCTTCAGATGATGATATAAAGATAGGCTGGAAACAATGTGACTAAACGATTTTTTTTTAAGATGGGGTTTCACCATGTTGGTCAGGCTGGTCTTGAACTCCCAACCTCAGGTGATCCACCTGCCTTGGCCTCCGAAGTGTTTGGATTACAGGCGTGAGCCACCATGCCCGGCTAAATGATGTTTAAGTTCAAATCTTGTGCTATACTAAAACCATTCACTTAAGTTTTTATATATTGTCTGTAATCTCACGACAGCCTTTTTTTTTTTTTTTTTTTTGCTGCTTCCCTGTAGGTAAAGATACTCATAACAGCCTTGAAAGACAAGCATGTTACTGTCACTGTTCTGAAGATTAAAAAACAAGCTCAGAAAAGGAACTGCCCAACCTCACACAATTAACAGCTGAGCCAAGAATCAAATCCATATGGTCCACTTTATTCCAAGTAACAATTTATTCTATGGTTCTATTATTGTTCTGTAGGGTAATTAAAACACATATTAAATGTTTTATTTTAAATGGGGGAAAAATTTCAAGTATCTGTTATTGGAAATGACTGCTAAAATTAAGTTGTGCAGAGGAAGGTAGAGTACAAGTGGAGAGGCAAGGTAAGGTTCACAGTACCTCACCTCAGAAACCGCAACACAGACAGACAATACCCACCTTAACTGTGCCATCGTCACTGCCAGTGCAGACAAGTTGAGGCCCTCTCCTGGCTGGATAACAGGAATTCACAAAGGAAGTATGTCCCTTTAGCCTTTTAACCCTCTCACCTGTTTCACTATCCCACACAGCCACAGTTTTATCTGTGGATGCTGAGAAGAGCATACTAGAAAGTAAGAGGAAGAACAAAAAAGAAGTAAGTGAACACAAACAAGTAACTATCTTTTGTACTTGCCAAATGATGCCAAACTCTTCAAGATCACTGACCTGCTGTGCTTTGCGAGTTTGCCCATGATGCTGGAATGCCTCACCCCACCAAAATCCTATTTGTGCTCTAGACCCAGATATAAGATCTACCCCTATGAAGAAGTTTTAAAACTTCCCCTTCTTTAGGGCCGGGCTTGGTGGCTCAAGCCTGTAATCCCAGCACTTTGGGAAGCCGAGGCGGGTGGATCACAAGGTCGAGAGATCGAGACCATCCTGGTCAACATAGTGAAACCCCGTCTCTACTAAAAATACAAAAAACTAGCTGGGCGTGGTGGTGCGTGCCTGTAATCCCAGCTACTTAGGAGGCTGAGGCAGGAGAATTGCCTGAGCCCAGGAGGTGGAGGTTGCGGTGAGCCGAGATCACGCCATTGCACTCCAGCCTGGGTAACGAGAGCGAAACTCCGTCTCAAAAAAAAAAAAAAAAAAAAAAAAAAAAAACTTCCCCTTCTTTGAGTCCCCAAGACATACATCTAATATAGCAGTTTGTTCTTTTCTCTTTTGTGATAGGTTTTGTTCTATCTTTTTCTCCTTTGTGATAGGTAACGTTTTACAAATAAGACGCCCTCTCACATGGAAATGTTTAATCACTCCCTGGTGCTGCAGAGGTAAGACAGACTATGCCAACTTTGGACCTGACAACTGAGTAACTCCAATCCTTTCTCTCTACCAAACTTTTTCTTTTGTCTCTGAGGACAATTTCTTTCTTACAGTTTTTTTTGAGATGAGATCTTGCTTTGTCGCCCAGGCTGGAATCACGGCTCACTGAAGCCTCGACCTCCTGGGCTCAAGTGATCCTCCCACCTCAGGCTGTGGTCCCTCTTGAGCAGCTGGGACCACAGGTCTGTGCCACCATGCCCAGCTACTTTTTAAAATCATTTGTAGAGGCAAGTTCTCATTATGTTGTCCAGGCTAGTCTTCCACTTCTGGGATCAAGCAGTCTTCCTGTTTCAGCCTCCCAAAGAGCTAGGGTTACAGGCATGAGCAACCACACCCAGCCTCTGAGGATGATTTCTAAGTAATAACTGATTTTATAATGCTTTCTTTTTTGATTTTTTTGAGATGGAGTCTCACTGTGCTGCCCAGGGTGGTTTTGAACTCTTGGGCTCCAGGAGTCCTCCTGTTTCAGCCTCCCAAATAGCTGGGATTATAAATGCATCCCACTGTGCCGAGCTTTCTAATGCTTTCTTTTATTTAAAATGTATAAAATGCTGTGTCAATTGATGGCACACCCTAAGATTTTAGAGGTCAGAAATGTAAAACAAGTTGGGCGTGGTGGCTCAGGCCTGTAATCCTAGCACTTTGAGAGGCTGAGGCAGGCAGATCACCTGAGGTCAGGAGTTCGAGACCAGCCTGACCAACATGGAGAAACCCCATCTCTACTAAAAATACAAATTAGCCAGGTGTGGTGGCGTGTGCCTGTAATCAGCTACATGGGAGGCTGAGGTAGGAGAATTGCTTGAACCTGAGAGGCGGAGGTTGTGGTGAGGTGAGATTGTGCCATTGTATTCCAGCCTGGGCAACAGAAACAGAAATGAACTACATCTCAAAAAAAAAAAAAAAAAAAAAAGTGAAACAATGAATGCTTACCAGAATATCTAACAATGGAATTAATTTTGTATAGTCTGATTTCTATGTTATCTATAATATATTCCAAAATAATATAGTCATTAAAATGTTTATGACATCAGATGCTGGCTGAGCAATGTTAAAAAGGCAGAAATAAGACTGTACACATAGTTCTAATAAACATGTAAAAACTAAACAGTTCTGAGTAGAAAAAAGGCATTAGAAAAAGGTATAAAATAAACAGTGATTATCTTTGGAGTGACAGAAACATGGACTATTTTTTCATCTTTCTGCTTTTTTGGGTTACTCAAAATAAATGATTTTTATAATAAAAATAATTTCAGGCCACACTTGATGGTTAATGCCTGTAATCACAGCATTACTGGGAGGCTGAGGCAGGTGAACTGCTTGAGCTCAGGAGCAATATAGTGAGACCATGTCTCTACAAATGATTTTTAAAAATTAGCTGGGCATGGAGGCATGGGCTTGTAGTCCCAGCTATTTAGAAGGCTGAGGTGAGAGGATTCCTTGAGTCCAGGAGGTTGAGGCTGCAGTGAGTCATGTTCGTGTCACTACACTCCAGCCTACATATAAAAATCACATTTTTTGTCTTAAAAAAAAAAAGAACGCAAGTTTGTCTGGGTTGTGGAAATGACAGACACGATCTCTTTATATTTGCATACACAGACAGTAACACTTCACTTGGGGTGACAGTGATGAATGGAATAATAAAAGTAGCTACCCAAAATTAGTAGATTTTGATAGCAAGGTCTCCCGAGAGAGGATAAAGGTGAAAGGACACCAAGAAGAATTAGTATGAGAAGCAGCTGTCATTCCATTATGTAGAATACTCACCTGCCATCTGTGTTGTAATGCAGTTCCATCACTGCTCCACTGTGTCCCTTCAGTGTGGCATAGTTATCACAGTCACCATAGACATTCCACAACACTGTTAAGAAGACAGGGGTTCTGTGAGCATTACTAGGCAAAGGGTACTTAAGAATTTATCAGAGCAACAGTTTTCAGGCACAGCGCAGTGGCTCATGCCTATAATCCAGCACTTTGTGAGGCCGAGATGGGTGGACCACTTTAGGTCAGGAGCTTGAGATGAGGGTGACATGGCGAAACCCCATCTCTACTAAAAATACAAAAATTAGCCAGGCATGGAGGCAGGCACCTGTAACCCCAGCTACTCGGGAGGCTGAGGCAGAAAAATTGCCTGAACCTGGGAGACAGAGGTTGCAGTGAGCCGGAGATAGTGCCACTGCATTTCAGTCTGGGTGACAGAGTAAGACTTTGTCTCAAAAAAAAAAAAAATTTACAAATTATACTCTCTGGAACACTACTGGTTTTAACAGTGGACTAATTTTCTTGACACTAAAAAATAATGGCAATATGTTAATAAGGTTTAAAAAAAAAACCTAACATAAAATTTTTAAGACCTTATTTTTTTTCTCCTGTAACTTTAAAAAAGCATCTAACTTTTTTTTTTTTTCTTTTTTTTTTTTTTTTGAGACAAGAGCTTCATTTTGTTGCCCAGGCTGGAGTGCAGTCGCGTGGTCTCCGCTAACTGCAACCTCTGCCTCCTGGGTTCAAGCAATTCTCATGCCTCAGCCCCCTACGTAGCTGAGATACAGGCGCTGCCACCACATTCGGCTGATTTTTTTTGTTTTTTTTTGAGACGGAGTTTCGCTCTTGTTACCCAGGCTGGAGTGCAATGGCGCAATCTCGGCTCACCGCAACCTCCGCCTCCTGGGTTCAGGCAATTCTCCTGCCTCAGCCTCCTGAGTAGCTGGGGTTACAGGAATGCACCACCATGCCCAGCTAATTTTTTGTATTTTTTAGTAGAGACGGGGTTTCACCATGTTGACCAGGATGGTCTTGATCTCTTGACCTCGTGATCCACCCGCCTCAGCCTCCCAAAGTGCTGGGATTACAGGCTTGAGCCACCGCGCCCGGCTCTGATTTTTTTTTTTATTTAGTAGAGATAGGGTTTCACTATGTTGCCCAGGCTGGTCTCGAACTCCTGAGCTCAGGCAATCTGCCTATCTGAACCTCCCAAAGTGTTAGGATTACAGGCATGAGCCACCACACCCGTCCAGCACCCAACCTTTAAAGTCAGCTCTGAGTCTGAAAGCAGACTGCCAAATGACAGCACTTACGGAAAACCTAAGGCGGCCATAATTAAAGTTCACATGGTAATGACTTCATATTACATTTATTAATTCTATATGCACTAAGTACCTACATGTCAGACTTAGGGTAAATGAGTAGACACAGCTGCTATCCTGAGGGAGCTTGGTCTAGCAAAAAGTCAAGTTTGGTAAGTGTTACTAAGGATCACCCACAGACATAAGTGGTACCTATAGATGACATTATTTTTTTACTGATAAAACTATGGAGTTTGGGCTGGGTGTGGTGCCTCATGCCTGTAATACCAGCATTTTGGGAGGCTGAGATGGGTGGATCACTGGAGGTCAGAAGCTGGACACCAGCTTGGTCAACATGGTGAAACCCCATCTCTACTAAAGCACAAAAATTATCCAGGTGTGGTGGCGGGTACCTGTAATCCCAGATACTCGGGAGGCTGAGGCACAAGAATCGCTTGAACCCAGGAGGCAGAGATTACATGGCATCACTGCACTCCAGCCTGAGTGACAGAGTGAGACTCCATCTCCAAAAAAAAAAAAAACAAACAAAAAAAACAAAACAAACAAAAAAAACCACAAACAACTAACCAGCCAAACAACAAAAAAACCCTATGTAGTTTTTTCCTGATAAAATTAAGAATAGCAATAATTCATATATGTTTTGCAAAGATCCATAGCCATCCAGACGTTTGGCCACTAGCAAGCTTAAGGATCACAGAGCCAGAACATCCAAATCAAAATGGGCAGTGAAGATGGGTATCATCCACTTGAGGCAAAGGGTTAACAGAAAACAGCCAAAGAACTCATTTCACCTCATAATCTGGTAAGAGCAGCTAACAGAAGTAGATGATTTTTTTTTCATTCTGGCTTCATTTGCTGGAATATAAATGAAATAACTTTTTCTACTTACTTCTGAAAAATGGGCATTGAGAAATTCTACTTATTTCTCAAAAATGGAAATCTAGTAGCAGATCCTAATGTTGTACAGGTAGATTATTTAAGGGAGTTACCACTTTAGGATTCCTACTTTCCTATATGCTGGCTAGGATTCTGGGTGTGAATTAAGAGGACTTTATACCTTTGGGGGAAAAAAAGTTATTTCTCTCCTCATTACTCCCATCAACCTGTTATGTCTAGATTGCTAAGTGTCTTGGTAAATCAACAGGAGATTCGCCTCTATAAGGAAGATATTCTCAAACCAGAACAACTCACTTTCCAACTAGTAAAATAACTCCTTCTGTATTTACCCCATGGACCCCAAGTTCTACAGCCAAGATCATTCAGCATGTTCATGCCCCAATTTTAGTATATTAGTTAGTCATGCAGCCTGTTATGTTGCTAACATAGATTGATACCTTCTGTGGCACCCAAAATTTTTAAAAAATCACTATCTGACAGAAAAAATTATTCCAGATTTAAAAACTATGCCTCACATATCAGTCGGTCAAATCCTGCAGATGCTAAGGTGGATCCGTTGGGGTGGAACTTGCAGCAGTATACTTCCCCTTCATGTCCAGAGAGCAGCATGATTGGGGCCTGAAGGGAGGAACACCTTGGAGGTCCCTAAACAAAAGAGAAGCACACCGTAACTACTGTATACGGGCAAAGGAGGCTACCATATTAGGGGTAGGGAGTGGAGGAAAAGACCAGAAAAAGAACGATTAAGTGGATTTCATCTGATTTAGAGAATGGCCCCTTTTCTCACATGAATGCCCTCAGTTTGGTACTTTCTGAAACTTTCCATTATCTACCTCTTATAATGACTCTCCTGTTCATTCTCTCGGCTCTTGTTGTATAATCAATTTTTTGCAGGGTACAGGGTCTCACATCGTCACCTAGGCTGGACTGCAGTGGCGAGATCATGGTTTACTGCAGCTTCAAATTCCTGGGCTCAAGTGATCCTCCTGCTTCAGCCTCCTGAGTAGCCAGGACTGCAGGCATGCACTAGCATGCCATGCTGATTTTTTCAGTTTTTGTGGAGATGAGGTCTTGCTACATTGCCCAGACTGGTCTCAAACTCCTGGCCCTGCTCCTTGACTTCCCAAAGCACTGAGATTACAGGAATAAGCCACTGTACCTGTCCTGGCTTATTTAATGAAGGACAGAACTGACTTTCCCAAGAATCCTGCATGGTATGGAGTACTGGGTGAAATAGTTTTATTTTTAAATTTTGGGGGTTTTTTGAGACAGTCTCACTCAGTCGCCCAGGCAGGAGGACAGCGGCATGACCTCAGCTCGCTGCAACCTCTGCTTTCCAGGTTCAAAGGATCTGGTGCCTCAGCCTCCAGAGCAGCCCAGATTACAGGCGTGCACAATCATGTCCAGCTAATTTTTGTATTTTAAGTAGAGATGGGGTTTCACCATGTTGGCCAAGCTGGTCTCAAACTCCTGGCCTCAGTGATCCGCCTGCCTTGGCTTCCCAAAGTGCTGGGATTATAGGCTTGAGCCACTGTATCCAGCCTATTTTTATTTATTTTTTCCATAGCACAGAGATCCCCAGCATGAGTGAAGTAGTTTTGATTATGGTCTTGGATGCTAAGGCAACATTTGGGAAATTCATCTAAACCTGGGCTGACACGATCACTTGCAAATGGGAGAAGTATACTACCCAAAATCCAAATGTCTTCGGTACTTTCCAGCATATTCACTTTTTTTTTTTTTTTTGAGATGAAGTTTCGCTCTTGCTACCCAGGCTGGAGTGCAATGGCGTGATCTCGGCTCACTGCAACCTCCACCTCCTGGGTTCAGGCAATTCTCTTGCCTCAGCCTCCTAAGTAGCTGGGATTACAGGCACGCACCACCATGCCCAGCTAATTTTTTGTATTTTTAGTAGAGACGGGGTTTCACCATGTTGACTAGGATGGTCTCGATCTCTCGACCTCGTGATCCACCCGCCTCGGCCTCCCAAAGTGCTGGGATTACAGGCTTGAGCCACCGCGCCTGGCCCCATATTCACTTATTTATTTCTATTTTATTTTATGAAAAGGAGTCTTGCTCTGTTGCCCAGGTTAGAGTACAATGGCATGATCTTGGCTCACTGCAACTTCCACCTAACGGCTTCAAGCAATTCTCCTGTCTCAGCCTCCCCAGTGGCTGGAATTACAGTGCCTGCCACCACACCCAGATAATTTTTGTATTTTTAGTAAAGATGGGGTTTCACCATGTTGGTCCAGGCTGGTCTCGAACTCCTGACCTCAGGTGATCCGCCTGCCTCGGCCTCCCAAAGTGTTGGGATTACAAGCGTGAGTCACCACGCCCAGCCATATTCATATTTTTAAAAAATGCTATGTGCAGGCTGGGCGTGAGGCTCACACCTGTAATCCCAGAACTTTGGGGGGCCGAGGCGGGCAGATCACCTGAGGTCAGGAGTTTGAGACCAATCTGAACAACATGGCGAAACCCTGTCTCTACTAAAAATACAAAAGTTAGCTGGGCAGATCACCTGTGGTCGAGTTCGAGACCAGCCTGACCAACACGGTGAAACCCCGTCCCTATTAAAAATACAAAAATTGGCCGGGCGCGGTGGCTCAAGCCTGTAATCCCAGCACTTTGGGAGGCCGAGGTGGGTGGATCACGAGGTCGAGAGATCAAGACCATCCTGGTCAACATGGTGAAACCCCATCTCTACTAAAAATACAAAAAATTAGCTGGGCATGGTGGCACATGCCTGTAATCCCAGCTACTCAGGAGGCTGAGGCAGGAGAATTGCCTGAACCCAGGAGGCGGAGGTTGCGGTGAGCCGAGATCGCGCCATTGCACTCCAGCCTGGGTAACAAGAGCGAAACTCTGTCTCAAAAAAAAAATAAATAAATAAAAAATAAAAATACAAAAATTAGTTAGGCATGGTGGCGGGACCTGTAATCCCAGCCACTTGGGAGGCTGAGGCAGGAGAATCGATTGCACCTGGGAGGCAGAGGTTGCAGTGAGCCAAGATTGCGCCATTCCACTCTAGCCTGGGCAACAAGAGCAAAACTCCATCTCAAATAAAAAAAGCAACAACAACAATAAAAGTTATGTTCTAGGCACTAGGCAAAGAGCAACAAACAAAATAAACAATAGGCCTTGCTGTTCCAGTAGGAAAGGGGAAGAGTAGGAGGGAGGGTGAGAGAAAACAAGCAAAATATGTACTTGATGTCATGTGCTATAGAGAAAATAAAAGGATGGGCCAGGCGTGGTGGCTCATGCCTGTAATCCTAGCACTTTGGGGAGCTGAGGTGGGTGGATCATGAGGTCAGGAGTTTAAGACCAGCCTGGCCAAGATGGTAAAACCCCATCTCTACTAAAAATACAAAACATTAGCCAGGTGTAGTGGTGGGCGCCTGTAATCTCATCTACTTGGGAAGCTGAGGCAAATAATTGCTTGAACCCAGAAGGTGCAGGTTGTAGTGAGCTGAGATCGTGTCATTGCACTCCAGCCTGGGTGACAGAGTGAGACTCCATCTCAAAAAAAGAAAAAAAAAAAAAGAAAGGAAGGAAGGATGGGCACGTTGGCTCATTCCTGTAATCCCAGCACTTTGGGAGGCCAAGGTATGTGGATTGTGTGAAATCCTGTCTCTACAAAAAAAAAAATTAGCTAGGCATGGTAGTGTGTGTCTGTGGTCCCATCTACTCAGGAGGCTGAGGCAGGAGGATCACTTGAGCCCTGGAGGCAGAGGTTGCACTAAGCCAGTGGGCAACACATGGAGATTCTAAAAACAAAATATCTCCATAATGTGCAAGTGGGAGGATAAAAAAAAAGAGAAAAAAACAAATAAGTAAACAAAATAAAATGAAAGAAAGAAACTAGTAATGCGGTACTGCAATTTACATTAAGGTGGTCAGGAAAACCCTTACTAAAAAAATTATAGTTAGGCAAATATTTGAAGGAGCTTAGTAGAAGTAGACTCCTCTTCTTCCCATGTAAACATTTGGGAAGATGAGCAATCCTCGCAGAGGGAGCAGCAAATGCAAAGGACTGAGGCAGAGGCTTGGAAGAGAGTGTAACTGGAGCCAGGTTGGCAATGAGAAATTGGTCAGAGAGGTAAAGAGAAAGAGGGCAAATAATTACAAATATTTTGGTTTTTACTCTCGGTGAAGTAGAAAGCCACCAGGAAGTTTTCTGCAGAGGGTAACGTGATCTGATATTTAGAAGGATTCATCTGGTTATTGGCTTGGTAACAGCTGCCGATCCAAAAGCAGAAAGCAGAAACAGTTAGGACCCTACTACAAAAATGCCAGTTAAAGGCCGGGCGCGGTGGCTCACGCCTGTAATCCCAGCACTTTGGGAGGCCGAGGTGGATGGATCACGAGGTCAAGAGATCGAGACCATCCTGGTCAACATGGTGAAATCCCGTCTCTACTAAAAATGCAAAAATTAGCTGGGCATGGTGGTGCGTGCCTGTAATCCCAGCTACTCAGGAGGTTAACGCAGGAGAATTGCCTGAACCCAGGAGGCGGAGGTTGCGGTGAGCCGAGATCGCGCCGTTGCACTCCAGTCTGGGTAACAAGAGTGAAACTCCGCCTCAATAAAAAAATAAAAAAATTAAAAAAAGCCAGTTGAGGTAACAATGGCTTATGCCATGAGGCATGAGGCAGTGATGGAGATGGTAGAAGGAACAATTCTAGATTTATTTTGAGGACGGTGCCAGCAGGATTTGTTTAAAACATGAGAAAGAGGGCACTCATATTTCCTCAATTGAGCCTAAACAGGACAGTGGGAGTGTGATCACTGTTTTTAATCTTATAAAAAAGGTAGTTCGGAGCATGGTTTCTCAGTTCAAAATCTGTTTCCGTCATGTACTTGGTAAGTTTGCTTTCCCATCTGCAAAATGGGTTAACAACGTTCCTAACAGGCTGCTACCAAGATTAATGGATATTTCATATAGGAAACACTTTACTACAAGAGTCCAAGAACGTTAGCCTGCTATTTAGTTGCTAACAATACTAGCGCAGAGCCGGGCGCGGTGGCTCAAGCCTGTAATCCCAGCACTTTGGGAGGCTGAGGCGGGTGGATCACGAGCTCAAGAGATCGAGACCATCCTGGTCAACATGGTGAAACCCCGTCTCTACTAAAAATACAAAAAATTAGCTGGGCATGGCGGCATGTGCCTGTAATCCCAGCTACTCAGGAGGCTGAGGCAGGAGAATTGCCTGAACCCAGGAGGCGGAGGTTGCGGTGAGCCGAGATGGCGCCATTGCACTCCAGCCTGGGTAACAAGAGCGAAACTCCGTCTCAAAAAAAAAAAAAAGAAAAAAAAAAATGCTAGCGCAGAAAAATAAAGGGAAAAGCAGCCAACCCCAATCATTTCCCTTCTTTCCTCCCTCCCTCATTCATTCATTCTACACACTTTTCTGAACGTTTGTTCTACGCTAGCTAGATCCATGTGAGTTAGGATGCTCAAACCAGGGCTCGGGTTTTGAGCCCAAGGTTCTAATTCAACTCTAATTCTAAAGCTAACTCACAGGGCAGTCGAAAGGCTGAAAACGAGCGCCAAACAGGGGAACATGTACGGAGTATCCGCAGGCTCTGGGACGCTTAGTGTTTATGTGCTTTAACTTCAGGGGCAAACTCTCGTTCTGCCCCCGCAATGCGGGAAAGGGTCGGTGCGGGGGTCACCAGACACAGCGCTCTGAGGGGAGAGAAAGATGAGCTGAGGGCCAAAGGCCGCCTGCTTCTTCACTTACCGCTTGCAGCAAAGCTCCCGGCGTCGCCTGCTGCTGCCCGGCTCCGGGGCCCGACCCTGTCGCTCCCAACAGCAACTCATGTCGCTGCCGCTTGACTGGGACCAGCGGCAACTCCGGGGCCTTACGCTTCTGCTGTTCTATCATGGCGGCAACCGGACTCCTCGGGGCCGCCACTGAACGCGCCGCAGCCCTCAGGCGCCACGCAATTGGTTTCAACTTAGTCCTTCCTCCACAACTTCCAGCTTGAAGAACCAATCGGCTTTCAATATTCCCATTTGCACCGCCCTCCAGATAGTCTCTTGTTATTGGGCCTATCTTCCTGACGTCATGAGAGCGCGATTCCAGGATTGGTGAACGGAGCTGGCGACCTTCCTAGGCGCGCTGGGTGTTGTGGGTGGAAACGCGCTGGCTGACTGGGTTCGGCGTTTAGTTGAACGCCGCGATTTGGGGACCAGGAGCTGACGCCTAGTACGTATGAGGAAGAGCGGGTTGGGTGGCTGCCTGAGTCTGGAGGCGACGCCTCTGTTGTGCAGTCTGAGCCTGCCGTTCTCAGCTGAGGGTGCTGATAGCGAGGGGTGGGAGGCGGGCCCCGAGTCCCCAGCTCTGGTAAGTAGTAGCCTCGGCTACCTTTCCGGGCAGGCGCGGAGCCTTGGGGTCTCTGTGGCAGGACCCAGCCCCCGCGGCTCCCTTCTTCAAGAGTGCCCATCGTGGCCAGTCCTGTGCCGGGCATTCCCAGGGAGAAGGGCCTGTGTCCAGCCTCCACCGGTGCCCCGTTTGGCCGAGGAAGCTGACTTGTTTCTGCCACTGATTTTGCAGTTTTTGGTGAGGGCCTGTTCTATGCCCCGCTGAGAGAGACCGTGATGAAGGAAATGTCCGGCTCCTTCTCCAGACACAGTCTTGTTGAGAAATTTGAGACTCATGCCCATGAACGTGGTCATTTCCTCAGTCGTCCAGCTGATATTTCGTGTGCAGCGCGTTGGGGATACGTTGTGAACCAGGCACGGTCCCTACTCTCAAGGCGTTTAAGCCTGGTGGGGAAAACGTTAAACAGTGACCTCACTAATACATGGAAGTGCCTCCTAGTGCTGCAGTCGATGCTATGAGTGCCTGAAATAAGCAGGAAGGTTTTTCAGAGGACAAGATGCCTGCGCTGGTAGCAGCAGGAAGAATTGTAATTAATTAGGTGAAGAGGCGAAGGCAGAACCTTCCATAGAGAACTACTTGTTCATTTTCCTCCCAAGCCCTGAGGCACTTGGGAGGAAAATGGCTAAAAGCACAAAGAACCAGTGTGGCTGGTACAAAGAGAATGAAGGGGAGTATGGCACAAGATGAAACTATGTGATAGCGGTCAGACCTTGCAGAAATTTGTAGCTTTTATTTTAAAACGGATGAGATATCACTGAGCCGTCTTCCCCCAGTGGGATGTGGTGGAGGAGGGGACTTGATCTTTCGGGCTCAGTGGTGTGAACAGACTGGGGTTGAGGAAGCCCTCGTGGCTGTATGTAGACCACTTAGGATATGCAGTAATCCTGGTTAGAAATGTCAGTGAGGACGGAGACATGGGTGGAACTGCAGAGAACTGGACGGATTACAGAGGTATATAGGAGGTAAAACGGGTGGGACTTGGTGATGGGTTGATTTTAGGGCGTGAAGAGAGCAATCAAAGGTAACTCCTAGAATTCTGACTTACATAGTTGAATAGGTGGTGGTACCATTCACTCACTATCACTGACTCCCTCAAGCTGGATAGGGAACACTAGAAGATGACTAGAGACCAGTTTTATTTTTTTATTTTATTATTTTTTTAAGACATGATCTCACTCTGTCGCCCAGGCTGGAGTGCGGTGGTGTGATGTTGGCTTACTGCAACCTCCGCCTCCCAGTTTCAAGCGATTCTCGTGCCTCAGGCTCCCCAGTAGCTGGGATTACAGGTGCCCACCATCAGGCCCGTCTAATTTTTGTATTTTTGGTGAAGACGGGGTTTCACTATATGGGCCAGGCTGGTCTTGAACTCCTGGCCTCAAGTGGCCTGTCTCAGCCTCTGAAAGTTCTAGGATTACAAGGCCTGAGCCACTGCTCCCAGCTGAGACCAGTTTTCATTGAATGATTGATTGATTGATTGTGTGGGATAATTCATGACATCCAAGAGGCAGTTTGAAATACAGCTTTGGTGGTCAGAAGAGGGATTTGTGTTGGGAATATAAAGTTGGGGATAATCTGTATATACACGAATTGAGCCATAGATGTGGGTAAGGTCACCTAAGTCAGAACCTTGACTAGTTCCAACATTTGATGGTGAAGAACAGGTGGATGAACCTACAAGAGTTAGAGAAGGAAGGAGGACTGGAGGAAGTCTCAGAAGCAAAAGAATGATTTGTGATAGAAACTTCTAGAATTTAACATGAGGATTGAAAAATATATTTTGGCTTTTATCATCATGGAGGTCATGGTAACCTTAGCAAGAGTTATTTTGTGGGTGTAATTGGGCCAAAAGCTAGATATGAGGCAAGGATTTGGACAAGAAAATGTAGGCAGTGAACCTATACAGTATTTTTCATAGACGTGATTGTAAAGAGGAGAGGATGTGCTAACTAATGGGGATAAGGGATTATTCAGGATCCAATTGAAGATCCAGTTGTGAGAAATTTGAGAATATTGTAGAACATTTGAAAGTCATTGTGGAGTGTAGGAGAATGAGCTTACTAGAAAAATGTAGGATGCAAGGAAAAAAAATCAGTTTCTTTTTTTCCAGCACATCAGGCGGTTTAGTGAATGCATGGAGAAAACCTGTGTGGGTATGGCAGGGACTTGGCTTGCTCCAGACACATTCTGACCTCTAATGTGTCTTCTCTTACTGAAAAATATGGAAAACTAAAAACCATTTTTCTAGACTCCCATGCACCTAAGGTGAAAATTGAATTTGGAACTGAGTTAAATGTGGAGAGAAGGAGGGTGCGAGTCATCCAGTTTTGCTGCCAGTCATGGCAGTGAAGTTCTCCAGTTGATAGCTTCCTGGTTTGGTGGCTTGCTGCAGTGATAGCCGTAACTTTTGGATTGTGGCAAAGGTGGTGTTATTTGGTGGGTTAGGTGTTGTTCCTGGAAGTTCTGCCAGAATCTTGTAGTACATACGTTTCTACGTAAGTGGGTTCTGTTATCTGCAACTGTCCCTGACCAGGGTAGAGGTACTGCCAGATAGGTAAATGTAAAGACAGAGTTAAAGGGAGTTTAGGGTGTTGTTGGAATGATGATCTATGGAATCTAAGCTGGATTGGGAGAAAACTGAAGAAAAAGAGGAGGGCTGATAGATTGGAAAAAAATAGAGGCCAATAAATCAGGGTTCTAAAGAGGTCAAAGAACAATATTCTCTGCTAGAAGATTTCTGTTTATCCTAAAAGGCTTACTCAGTTATCTATTTAACTTCCCTCCTTGCCCCAGACCCTCTTTCTCTTCCTAGCTACTACTTTGTTTTGAGACAGGGTCTCACTCTGTTGCCTAGGCTGATAGCAGTGGCATGATTATGGCTCACTGTAGCCTTAACCTCCCAGGCTCCAGTGATCCTCCCAGCTCAGCCTCTCCAGTAGGTGTGCCTACAGGTATGTGCCACCATGCCAGGCTAATTGTTATATTTTTTGAAGAGACAAGGTCTTGCCATGTTGTCCAGGCTGGTCTCAAATTCCTGGCCTCATGCAGTCTTGCTGCCTTGGTCTCCCAAAGTGTTATAATTATAGTCATAAGCCACCATGCTTGGCCCTCAAGTTTCTACTTAGCACTTACCACATTGCAGTGTAATTGGTCACCATTATCCCTATCACACTAGGAGGTCTTTGAGAACAGGAACTGTGTTGCACAGGGTGGTTTTGGCCAAGCACAGTGCCTCCTGCCTATAATCCCAGCACTTTGGGAGGCCAAGGCAGGTGGATCACTGAGATCAAGAGTTCGAGACCAGCCTGATCAACATAGTGAAACCCCATCTCTACAAAAATACAAAAACTAGCTGGGCATGGTGGCATGGGCCTGTAATCCCAGCTACTTGGGGAGGCCGAAGCAGGAGTATCACTTGAACACAGGAGGGAGACGTTGCGGTGAGCCAAGATGGCACCATTGCACTCCAGCCTGGGTGACAAGAGCGAAACTCTGTCTCAGAAAGAAAAAGAAAAAAAAGTGTTTTTCAAGTGTTTGGCCTTCGGAATGGCCTAAGATTTGTCTCTTTCTAGCTTTGTGGTTTTGGAAAAGTTATTTGATTCCTGTAAAACAGGATTACTTGCTTTGTAATAAAGCAAGTTTAAGGATTGAAAGCAGGCTTATAAACTACCTTATATCTAAACATCAATCAATAGTGTATTGAGTTGATGAATTAACAGTTTAAATGAGGTAAAATTAAATACTTCACTATTTTAGTAGATATAAATTTTGATGTGTGTTACACTGTGCCAGGCACTGGAGATTTGGGGAGGCAGGGTATGATGATGTACAGGACAAGGGCATGCTTAAAAGAATTTCACATTCTACAAAGGAAGAAAAAAAATGTCCCTAAATATGATTTGAATCCCATCTCCATCATTAATATTTTGCAATTTTGAGCAAGTTTACTTAGCTTCTCTTGTGTCCTCATTTTAAAAATGGAAATGATAATTGCCTGTTTTATGGGATAATCAAGAAGAGAATTACTGAATGTCATGAAGATAAAATTTTAAATTAGTTAAGAGAAGATAAAATTTTAGATTAGTTAAGAGAAGTAAAGCTGTTAGATTAATACATGGCAGATATGAAGCACTCAAATGCTAGCTATTATTATTATGAGACTTTGAAGGAATCTTAGGAATAATTGACTGAAAGAGTAGTGTTGGGTAGTAGAATAAGTGCTGATCCTGGGGTCTAGTACCAATGTTGTTACCCGAGCAGCCTTTGTCAAATCACTTGGCTTCATTTTCAGTTGTATAATAGTGATAGGTTTAATTATTTTCATAATTCCTTTAAGCTTTTACATTTTCTGAGTTCACTTTTTGTGTTTTTCCTGGCATTTTACTCTTCCTCTTTACAGCTTTTAGCTATTTTCTCAACAGGCCCATAACTGGAATTTGAAAGGAAGAAGCATCTGTCTTACATAGTCACTTTAGAAATGTGGTGGGAGGGAGAAAAGTTGGACTACCAGTTTGACATTTGAAAGTGTTCCAGCCAGGCGCGGTGGCTCACGCCTGTAATTCCAGCACTTTGGGAGGCCGAGGAGGGTGGATCACGA